TTCGTTTAACGAAACACTGTTTCAGTGTATTATTGGACCTTATTGAGGACTACCTTAAAACATATACTGTGAGAAGGAATTCATTGTCCGTTAGTGAACAGTCATGTTGAATTCAGATAAAAACCGGAGAGCTTTTACATCAAATCTGTGGCTGTTTTTTGAAACATCTTCAAACCATATGTTTGCCGACCGATCAAAATTAGTTTTTTATTGTGGCGTCATCTACCTTGCGATGCACAAAAGTGAAAGTTCTTTACTATCCGCTTCTTTTTTACCGGTATTTCGCACCTTCCGTACTACCAGTCAAAAATGGAACATACCCTATCAAGCAGTTCCCTCTGTCGGTCGAATTAAAAAGCTACTTATCCAACGGATTGTTATGAGCTCGATATAACTTTGTCTGTCACCGTTCGGAAACCCATAAAATCTTATCGGTCTTATAACTTTATCCACTACATAGTTATGGAACCAATAAGGGCAAATGATGAGAAACCGGGCATAAATAAAATACAATTCTGTCGTTAAAACACAAAAAGTGTTCCAAAATAAAGAAGTCCGGCCCGCTCTAACTCCAAACACCTTTGTGTCACAATCACTTCGTATACTTTTGCCAGCAGTCTGGGCTTATATTTTGAGCAGCTTCTCCTATTCGGTTAATTAACTGCTGCTCCATTTGAACCAGTGTTCGGAAGATCAGAGATTTAATAGGTTCAAATGGAGCAGCAGTTAATTAACCGAATAGGAGGAGGGAGGCTCAGCTGTAATAATCTACAATACCTGTTCCTCTAGGTCTGGAAAGCAAGCACTTTCAGATTGTCCACTATCTGCGCCCATTTTGGGCCATTCGGCTAGTGTCTAGCCCTTTGCTGGTGTAACTTCTTACAGCTTCTGCTATGTTAATGTGGCAATTTCCCATAACTAGTCGCATTTTCGCAAATTCGCTGATAGTTTACATTTCATGAAAGGAGCTTTAAAAGCCACAGGTTGACATATGCTTCCCATCAAACACACCTTGGTCCCTGAGACGTCCCACGGAAGTCATTACAGAATATAGGCCTAAGTCCCTCGGACATCCCGGGACGTCCCCATATGTACGCGGGACGTCCATGGGACATACTAAATGTGGGCAATTCTAGAGGCAACGCAGAAGGGGGAATGGATTCGAGATACTCGAACTTTATCCAACAAACATGGCCCAACGGCAACATAGGGGATGATCCCTATAAAAAAGGTGTCCGTCAAAGTGACGTCCGGCGTTCTGAAAAAATTGTATTGGAAAGAAAAGGGTATCAAATCTCCGGCCTATCCAAAACCTCTAAGGTTTGCCGACAATATCGTTTTAATAAGCAATCACCCGCACGAGCAAAAAGTGAGGCTTGGTGCACTTTTTGAAGCATTTGCCGCAACAGAAATAAATAAAAAATAAGCTTGGATATAGTAGTCACTGGATAAACGGATTTCCCACACCACCATGACCACAAGATCCGTATTTTTAAACTAATCTCAAATCAAGGTTCTGCTCGTGCCCCGAAAGGTCGCGATCGTTCTATCGTCATGATCAATGATCGTCACAAGTGCCTTTGCACTTGTTGCGTACATTACATATCGGAGGTCAATTGCTAAAACGTAATCGGTGATAATTATCGTTCTTGAGACTTGACTCGTACTCAAGCATCCTTAGTTGCAAGTAGGATTAATTGCTTTTATTTTCTTCAAAGATTTGCATACCAGCTTATTGAAGAGTTTGGCGGATTCTCTTGCAAATACGACTGAATATTTTTTTGTTTCAGGATCCCCGAGGTCACACAAATTTGGGAGCTATGCTACACTTAAATGGCAAATATAAAGAAGCAGAACACAGCTATAAAAAAGCACTAAAACTGCAACCAGACGATGAAACAACACTGACAAACCTGCACAGGTTATACGGCATTATGACCTGACCCTAGGACAAAACCAAATATCGGGGTTATGTGATAAATAAGAAAACTGGGGAAAGGGTGAATGCCGAATATATTGTGTACAGAGAAAATGGTGTAGGTATCTTACAAAGTACTAATAAACTAAATAGGTTTAGGAGTAAAGATAATTTACCGAGTTTTGTTTAAGTTAGGTCCCAGCGAATAGCAGCGATTAATCAAATTATATTACTTGCAATAGGGACTTTAACTTATTTAACAAATTATGTCTGCGAAATATATTTAAAATTTTTAGGGGTTTGTTGCTCATTGTACTTCGATCTAATCACCAAAATAGAAATATGTGAAATAAATATATTTAGGGGACGAAATAAACTTTGACGCTAATAAATTTAAAAAATATATGCAAGGTGTTTCATGAGGAATAGGCATTATTTTAACCACGCATAAGTCTGAAATTAACCCAAAGTTTCTATATAAACAATTTTCTAATTAATACAATTATTTTTCAAATTGTTTGTTGCATTCCAAATAAAAAATGTGTCTTGCATTTTCATTATAAGACAAGCAGTTAAGATTTTAAAGTAAGGTTTGTGGTAGATGGGCCAATTTGGCCACCTTTAAATTCAATTGGAGATGGGTGGAGACAAAAACTGAGCACATCTCATAAAAAATTGTCGATAAATGTAGGGAGAGCAAAGGTTTACTTTTTGAGCGCTGGTATTTTTGGTCTTTTATTGATATTAAAGCAGTGTACTTACTAAAACCTCTAAATATATCTACTTTGGTAGCTTTTTAGTTTATGTATCCGCTACGGACTAATAAAAATCGTGGGCCTGTAAATTACTAACTAATAATTTTAGCTAACCACTCGCATTAGTTTTTCTCTGCTCCAATACAAACGGTGGCTTAAATGTGTCCAGTTTGAAGCCCCTGCCATAAATCTTATCGCGTAAAACAAGGAATTTGAAAAGTTTTTGTAATAAATAAAAAATACAGTGTCGTGTCATTTTTTCCCTTATCAATTTAGGTAGCGTGCAGGTACGCACGCCACTGTCAAAATTTAACAAAATAATTTTATTACAAGACATGCTTCTTCTCCTGCTATTGATCTCTGGAAAATTTCGTTAAAATATATGCATGCCTTTTGAAGAAATTTTTCATTTTGCATTTGTAATTAAATTTCAACACCCTGTAAGTCAGTTGCAAAGCATTTTTGAGCAGATCAATTATATAACAGACTATGGTTATTTTGAGACGTAGAACACGTGGTGAAAGTAATGAATCTTCGTCCCTGATGAAACATCTTGTATATACGAATAGCAAAATATCCCGTAGCTTTAATTTTTTATGCGTAGACATTGCCCGTAGACAGAGATGGATTTGACCTATGCATTATATACAATAACTTGTTGTAGATAAGTGAGATAAAAGATAACACCTTTTGCGATATTTTTTATAAAATAAATAGCATCCTAAGATTGTTGTTTAAGATTTGAAATTTGAAATTATTGTAAGATTTTTGCCAATTACCTTGTAAATATTTCCAATCGGTCTAGTATTGTTGATCGACGATTGATTCACAGAGGGAGAGGAAAACTTATTGCTAATTATATGGCATTGTTATTGAATATCATACAAATTTGTCTTTAAATCTCAGATAACTTGAAAATTCTTTGTTCAGTCGGCTTGAATAGAAAATTTAAGATTTTTTCATCAGTTTAAAACCTGACTTTTTCTGTAAATCATTCCACGTGAGCATGAATGGTAATGGTTGAGCATTTATAGAGGCCTATTGCAATTAGCTAAGTAAGTACCAATATAAATTTTATGAAGAAATTAATATTCCAGTAACAGTTGAAATCATAACTGTTGTAGTAAAAGACCTAATGCAATCCTCTTCCAAAATGTGTGTTTTATTTACTAATTTCAACACCAGTATAAAAGCGCAACTTTTCGGTTTTTAGCTGTTCCATTTTGCTTCCGGTTAAGCATTTACCTATAAATACGATAGAAGTATAAAATACACATACTAAATTAGTACATTTGTTAAATTGTCAAAGGAATTATTTTTAAAACACGAACAAATGCAGACAACTATTTACATATTACGAAAATTAAACTGTCGATAAAATTAATATTGAACACTTAGCAACTGTTTTAGCATACTTATTCAGGTTAATTAATTTCAGAGCAAAACATATTTAAATTAACGTAAAACGTTTCATTAAATGCTTATTATATATCCGTTGGGTTTGTTTTAATATCTGCTGATAGCAATTCTTTTCAATGGGGCCACCGTTCTAACAGTGGTCGGTAAAATAATTAAAAGGACAATATTAACGACGATCTATGGTGATAGCAGTTTAGTTGAAGTTGAATTTGATTTTAAAATACTCAAAGCTAATTTATGCAATAAGTAAGAGATATTTTGTAAATTGCATTGACGCTTTTGTAAAATAGGGTGCATACAGCTGCTATTCTGAAAATGACTTTGCTAGTACTATACTTTTTTACTGCAAGAATATATATTTTTAATAAGGATGCACTACGATATTTGAGGTGCTGTTACTATAAAGTCACATAGATGAAATTAAATAATTTTTTATTTATTTTGTTTTCTATATGAATCGTGACCTCGACTAACCTCATATGTCGAGTTGCATTAGCACAATTCAAGCCAATCAAATACTGAACTAAAGTTGTGCAGTTGAACAAAAGACAATAAATATTTCAGAACATTTCAGTAGATTTTAATAAATTTGTGAAATAATGCAAAATGTAAAAACGATAGTCGGTCAGTTATCCAATACAATTTATGTATGAAATAATTCGTATAAGTTAGCTTTGGGATTATAAATAGTAACAATTATGTAAAATATCAAGTTCTAAATGCTGGTATCTTGTATTGTACATAGGTAAATTAATTCATTTCTATTGAATTTTATTATATGAAATATATTATAAAATATCCTATCGTTTATCGTTGTCACATATCGGTTAATAGGTGTAAAATAATATCCTAGAATAAAACAATCATGCGGTTCAAGTTCGATTTGGAATTATGTGGACTTTTATTAATTATTGTTTTTTAATTCCGCCTACTTTGTAGGATTAACATATTTGGTTCAAGAAATTCAGAGCATTTTAGGTGAGTTTTGTACGTTTGTCATTGTTTATGTCTTTGAAAATCATACATGATAAATAATAAGTACTAAAACAAATTTGTTACAATCGAATACTGGTGGACACTGCAATCGGTATTGAGTCTTTGTTTACAGATCCTCAAATTAAAATACAAAACAAAAATTATAAATAATATTGATTGAATGAAAATGTGAAAAACAATAATCGACTGAAATTTTCGGCAATCTCAACGAATGAATTTGAACAACGGTTTATTCTCTTTTATATATTCACTATCTCTGCCAATTAACATTTTCCACTAATCTGGCTTTGAAATTTAAAAAATAGTTCACAAATTGTCGACATTTGTTAATAATGCCATCGTATGAGTAGTTAGCCATTTAATTGGCAGCGCTAATACTAAACTCAGCGAACTAATTATCGCAATATGAGAAACAATTTCTGACGGTATTGACGGAGCAGTCTTGATTTCTAGGTCCATTTATCAAAGCTAACTTTGTTAGTATCTAGACTATTTTATTATCAATTGAAACTAAAAAAAATGAGAGGTTGTTACTTAAAAACGCTATTAATAATTGCACCTACGCAGTTAGAGTATACAAGTAATAACAATTTAAATTTTTCGGTTTATAAAGAACATAATACCTGTGGGGACCATTAGTAATTCCTGTAACTTTTATGTTACAAAATGGTTGTGTAATTGTTTTCGACCATTAGTTTAATTAAAAGATATATAAATTCTTGCAATACTAATATTTTCCACTTTCCAAATCGAATTTCTGTCAGCGGAAGCATCTGTTTATTATACATGTTCTTACCAAACGAAATTCTTGTAAAACCTCTTTAAACTCTTTGTCAATAATAATCGTAGGATGTAGTTGTTTTTACAAAAGTTTTGAAATTTTAATACGTAAGCTTGGAACTGTAACTTAATCGAATATATTTCTAGCTTTCTATGGAAGGTACAACATTACATACAAAAACACTTGTAACAATTGAAACTGTAAAATAAAGCTTATCTTATTTTGTGTAACTGGATGGTTTTCTTTTAATGGTTATTTACCCATGTTTTTTAAAAGTTAGATTTATTTCTTAAAACTCACACTTGATTTGCAGAATTACCGTTGCTCCCGTACTTATGACGTAAATGTGAATAACGAGAGTTTCAAAAGGGCGGTATACCACCATGTTTGCTTAAAACAATAAATGAGAACATTAATTTCGATATACGAGAGAGCTAATCTTACGAGTGATTGATAAATCGACACGCGCAAATTAATTTCATTGTGGAGACAATCAGTTATTATCTCCTAAATCATAGAATTTAACATCGAAATTTGCGGACTGCATGATTAATTTTTAAATGTTAAAGAAAAATGGTCTTAGCTATACGAACTTTCTTTGAGACAAAAACTGACTGATTTGACTCTCGGTCACACAGGTCATAAGTTACGAATAGTACGACAAGGGTCTACGTATCGCACAGCAAGATCTTACATAGTTGTCACTTAGGGCTAGTTTTCGAGAGTCCACCCTTAACATGCCGGCCTCTTTGAAAACGCGATAACAACTTTTCAACACTGCACAGCTCCTGCAACGGACACAATTTCACAACCGGTCGCTTCAGTTGGACACTTGAAGCTTTCACCGTGGCTACTCGAACAACACCATCTGTTCCAGTATGGACTTTGTTGATTCGACCAAGTTACCATCTTGGAGGCTGAAGATTATCTTCCTTGACGATCACCATCTGCCCAGACTCCCACAATGGGCTGAAAGAGTTCCATTTCCTCTTTGATGGCAGCTCTACGACGTAATCCTTGTGCCAACGGCGTCAAAACTGCTGCACTAACTGTTGAACCCTAGCATAACTCTTCAATCTATTTGGAGAGGTATCTTCAAGATTCCGTGCGATCAAAAAATATGACGGTGTAAAGGGGCCAACATCTTCGGGATAACCAAAATGGGAAGTCAGAGGGCGGGAATTCAACATAGCCTCTACTTGTAACTAATATGCTATACAACTGCTCGTGACTTAAACTGCCAACCACCCTGCGCAAGTGACATTTGCAGGATTTCACACTCGCGTCCCATAATCCGCCGAAATGGAGATATCATACGTCTAGACGTAAATTCTTACAGGAAAAATGAAAAACCGTCTGAAAAGCAGTTCAAACAAACCCTTAGAGAACCAATATGCAAAAATGCCTAAGAATTTAGATTTAATTGTTATTTACTTACTGTTTGTAAATATTTTTTAAAAATAAGTAAAAATATTTAATGGGAACTTATCGTCTCAGCACATTTTTTCTCTCCACAATTCCTGAAGCGGCATCATTTTTTGACAAGCGTTAGCCTGTTCTAGTGTTTACAAGTTTATGGAAGCATACCATTTTACCTCGCAGTTTAAAAATGTTATCGAAAGAGAACTTAAACGCAACAGTGGTATTGCTTTGAATTTGGCTGGGAAATCGCAACGAGCCATTGTTAATGAACTACGACATTTACATGTGAACAAACTGTTTGTGTATCGGACTATTAAAAGTTACAATGATACTGGTAGCATCAAAAGACGCCATGGGGGTGGACATCCAAAAACAGCAACATCGCGAGAAATGGTACGAAACGCAAAGGCTAGAATCCAGCGTAATCCGCGACAAAGCGCAGTTAAATTGGCGAAAAGTCTCAATATGTCTGCTCGAAGCATGCGGCAAATATTAAAAAAATGAACTACGATTGAAGGCCTACAAAATAAAAAAGTGCAAGATTTAACACCTGCACGAAAGTCAGTTCGCCTCGCAAGAGCACTTGCAGGTTACTGGTGAGATCCAAAATTTGATCTTTTCTGATCAAAATTTTTTCCGGTTCAGCAATATGTTAACAAACAAAAGGATCTAATTTGGTTAGAGCACAAATCAAAGAACAATTTAAAGCAGCGAATTGCTCTGAAAAAGCAAGGGCCTGCATCAGTGGTGGTTTGGGACGCATTAACTGCCACAAGACGCTCACAAATCGTTTTTATTGAACAGGACGTAAAGATAAATCAACAAATCTACTGTGAATATAGAAGTAGACAATTCGGTAGAAACCATTGGACGTTTCAACAAGATTCGGCACCTGCCTACAAAGTGAAACCCAACGTTTTTTACAATAAAAGGTTCTCAGATTAATTTCTGCACAACCATGGCCACCATATTCCCCCGACTTAAACCCAATGGATTTTTCCATATGGTCCATTCTGGAGACCAAAATATCTGCAAAAAGATACATATTCGTACAGACTGTGAAGCCTTCCCGGACAGTCGCGATGCTGTTATATGCGCTAAAGGTGGCTACATCGAACAATAACTTATTTTTATTATGTTTTAATATTTAAGTTTTCTAATATATAAAAATTGAAATAACAAAATTATAGCATTTTTAATTGGTAACACTTTGAGTGCCGACCCCTGTACGTTCGTTCCTATGAGACCTAAAGGGTCGAAAATTTTGACTACTACTGCCGAGATAAATCCCTTTGTGATTCAATGTTGAATAGGTTCTTTCAAAGAGATGGAGTAACTTAGAAGGTCATTTTCACGTTCCCAAATCAAACCTAATGTCTTGTTTGTTTTATCATCTGATATAAAATACTGACATTGATGTTCAGCGTTTTCTTCAGAATCAAAAATGTCTTTATTGCTTGATGCCCACATTCTTAGTTTAAACTGTTCGGAAACCAATATTTGACAAATATAGTTTCTAAGAATTTTGACTTCTTCAATTGTAGAAGCCCCGGTAATTGTGACATAAAAACCGACACACTATAGACAAAAATAATCATTTATGGTAGGATCTAGTTTTGGAACGTCATTCAGTGATAATCCAGAATCGGATTTACACGAAGCGTTGAAAGCTACTCTACATTCGGTTGTAACGTAGCATGCCTTCATTACCGGGTGATGTGGCATATAATTAGATTCTTCGGTCACATTGGCACACGTACTAAGGACATATGATTTAAGTCAATGTATTCTTGCATACAATTATTGTACTCCGCTCTTACTGCAGAGTTTTTAAAACGACTTTTTCTAAATTTAAAATTTGCCTCAATGTAGATTCCCCAAAACTGCCAATTCTGATAGATTGTATCGAAAAGGAAAACAAGCTTTAAATTCACCAGATAACTCACGTGTTGTAGTTTTTACGTAGCAATTTCCACATTCTAATTCTTCTTTGATTTTCTTACATTCGGGTAAACCACTTAATAATCCAAAATCTTTCAACCTTTTGGTCTAGCGTTAACAAACGTATACTTAAATAGCTAGTTTCCTTGTTATTAGCAAGTAAATTAATCGAAGCGGACATTATCCAGCCTAAAATAATCTTCTGTAGGAGATAAAGCTTGGCCGTGTCCCATATTGACCTACTTCAAGCAATGACCAAAATTTGCCTTTCCCAAAAGCAAGGCAATGGGTTTAGGTTTGGGTCAGCCAGCTTGATATTTGGAGGAATTTTTAATAAATTCCAGTCAAACCAACTAAAAAGTTTTAGTTTTCGAAGAAACAACCATTTGTTGAAAATAATTTAGAACTAGTCGATATGTTAACGTTGACTAGGTTTGCCTACTGAATTTAACAGAGCCACATACAGGTATATTTAATTTTCTTTTATTTATTCCAAGTTTATTGGCTAAGTTTGTATAATTGGACTAACTGCCCGGATCCCACAGAGCTCTGCAGTGGACAGGTAGCACTTCATTATCATTAAGAATGACATTGGCAATTGATAACAACACATACATTTTAGGATTTTGATTAAGCAAAACTTAACTTGTACCGACTTTCAAGTTCAGCATTTTCTCATGAGGTATAGGAGAACTATCAACATGAGGCAGAGCACCAATCTGAACTTTATTTTGAAGTTCAACATGTAACAAAATGTTTTGGTTTTTATTACATTATCTACAATCTTCACCTTTGCAATTCTTGTTTGCATGCCCAGCACGTAGACATTTCGTGCAGAGATATAGTTTTCCATTTTCACCTAATCTTGATTCAGGTGTGAGATTTAAAAACCTACGTCAAAAATATATGATATGAGTTCCCTTGCAAAAATGACAAGCCTTTAGTCCAGACTGCTGCGTAACATGAGAAAATTGAGGTTTCGATTTAACTTCATGAGGTGTTCGACTTATTTCAGAAGCTACATTTGAGTCAATAATTTCTAAAGTTTGGCAATGTTCAGATGAAAATCTGATCAAGTCCTCATACGTGGACATATCTGTGAAATTTGAGAGAGACCCCTCCCAATCTCGTCTCAATAGTAAATCAAATTTTGATGAAACAATAAAAATTATAATCGAATCACAACTGGAAACTGGATGCTGTCAACTCTATATTAATAAGTTATGTGAACTCTACCTGCTTCCATTTTTTAAATCCAGAGACATTAAAAACTGATTTTTATTCGAATCTATCTAAAAGTACCATTTTTCGATCAGAAGCGATGATCATAAAGAAGTACTTTTTTTTACTGTTCATTTGTTTCACTTTTACGCACGGACTTTTATGAAAATGATATTGCGGTCTATTAGTGTCTGTGATGGTAATTGATAAATGATGGCTGTTTATTTCTTTGGGTGTATCGATCAATGAATAGCGTCAAATCAAAATACTATTTTTCTTGGGGCTACGTTCTCCAAAAGGGATAACTGAATGGTTTCAGTCTTGAAAATACTAGTAATCACATACTGGTTAATAAAAAGTATTAATTTAGTTATTAATATTAAACAATTATCTGCTTTTATTTAATTTTGAGTTGTCTATTAAAGTATCAATCTGGGCAAGTTGCAGACTTTCGTTTATATAAATGTATCTTAAGGATGAGACAAAACGCTGAATCGGAAAGCCTTCAAGAGTAGATTGCACAGATATTTCACCCTATCTGCTGTTAATTGTTATCTCGATTTCACTAACTAGGGTAAATTTATTCCAAAATTTTGTTCCCACTTTCACTCAGCTCTCCGAGAAAGCGACTCTTATTTGAAGTATT